TGTTAACCATCTGCATAGTAAATATATTTTTGTAGTTCTTTTTTAATATAAAAGCAAGTTTTATTTAGAGCAAGTTTATTTTACTATTGTTCTTGTAATCATAACAAGAATTTTTTTCTAGTGCTACAGATTATACAACAATAGTCATAGAACTGTGTAAAATAGTGGTTAAGTGGAATTATAAATAATTTTGTAAGCTTTTTAACTAGATAACTCTATCTATTATCAGATAGAGGGCTACTAGGTATATTATCAGGTCTAGGGCTACTAGGTCTATTATCAGATCTAGGGCTACTAGGAGCGGATGAAACAGATGAATCATAGTCACTATTCGCGTATTTTGTTTCCAACCTTTCCACTCTTTCTTTTTCTAACTCTAGTCTTTCTTTAGCGTTTTTCAGTGTAGTCCAAGCTCTTCTATGTTCTCTAGTTCACTCTTCTCCTCTACCTTCGGCTAGATACATTGATTGTTTTGATCTGACAGCTGCCAATTTCTCAGTAGCCTCATCCCTATCCTCTGAATACAGACCCACATTACTCTTGCTCAGCTTCAGTGCATCAATTGTATCGACCATACGTTGTATCCTATGCATATAATCCATACCAACATTAAGCGCCCCAAGGGTTGCAACGTCAGCTCCAGGAGCATGCATATCCATGGATGAGTCAGGTCTAGGTGGATTACTATCCACTTCTCAATCAGACCCAGGACCATAGCTATCCACAGGTGAAGGTGATCTAGGTCTATTTCTAGCCACTTGTGCATCTGACGCAGGACCAAGGCTATCCACAGCTGAAGCTGATCTAGGATTATTACTAGCCACTTGTGTATCAGATGTAGGATCATGGCTATCCACAGGTGAACCAGATCCAGAGTTATTGTCAGGAACTGTCATAAGACTTGCAACACCACTATTTACTGGTGAACCAGTACCAGACATACTATTAGTAACTTCTGGAGGACCACCAGAATAAGACATTGCGAAATGATGTGAAATCCATTCCTTAATTATATACCTTATAGCACCTATACTGCAAAAATATGATAAGCTAAGCCCTCAGTTATCTAGATTATTAAAAACGTCATATGAGCAATATTTCATAAGAACAAGTCTTATGACGTAGGCAAAGGCAGCAGTAATTATACTAGTAATAATACCAATAAAAAAATTTTTATTAAAAGTAAATATACCACTTTGCAAGGGCATAGAAGAAAGTTGGTTAGGTACGCTGTCACTTTTCAAAAATGAATGAGATACAGAAATGTCCACGGTACTATAGCTAGAAGTTTGTCTACTTTCTATCGTCAATGCGTTTTTACCTAATTCAAATATAAATCCTAAAGTCAATAGTACAAAAAACACCATCATTATAACTAATCCGTAAATGTCATTAGTGTACCCACTTACACTATACGGGTATACTAATAAAATCTCTAGATCAAATAAAAGGAATAAAAGAGCAAAGATAAAGAACGACACGCTAAACTGTGTTCTATTTTGCCCTAAAAATGAATGGAAACCACATTCAAAAGCACTGTCCTTTTCTTGGTAAGGATTATGAGGGGCTAAGATTAAATTTATTGATAATAATAAAATAGCTAATATAGGGATAAAGATAATAAAAAAAGTAGTACTTGTCATTTATATGTTAAAAAGTATTAATGCTAATATATTAGCTAAGTTTAATAATTCTTCGGGTATGAAAATAAACAAGGCTATCACAAGTGTTATTATAGAAATAGATAAACTTAATGAGCTTGATAAAACAATATTGTTTATTGTTATAGTAACTTTTTTACTAATCGTGTTTTTTTCCGCAATAGCCCCTTCTGCATGTAAATCTGTTAATTCATTGTTTACTTTATAGTCTGGTTTATCAAAAAAGATTTGTTTTATGATAGCTAAATAGTAAACCGCACTTATAACACTTGTTAAGATAGCAACAAGTGACATAAATATATAACCGTTGTCAATAGCTGCACTTAAAATCATTTGTTTACCAAAAAATCCTATTAACGGAGGTATTCCTGCGAAAGAAAATAAAGTTATCGCTAAGCTTAACGATAATATAGGATTAATATAATACAACCCTTTTAACTGGTCAATTAGTTGAATAGGTGAATTGTCCACGTCATGTAGATTGTTATTATTACTATTGCTTTCTTCTTTTTCGTTAGATTCTGTATTATAAACATAACAGTATAAAGAGTAACCTATAGTAATAAGTAAGATAAACGCATTTAAGTTTGATATAGAATACTGGATTAGATAAAACATAAAGGCTTGTGTTGATTCTACTGTGTGTATACTCAGTCCTAATAGAATAAACCCTACGTGTGAAATTGTACTAAATGCAAAAAGTCTTTTAATTCTAGACTGTGTTAACCCTACAACAGTTCCTATAACTAAAGATAAAAGAGAACTAAATAATAAGGTTGTTGTTCAAGAAAAGTCCATATCAAACATTGATTTACTTGTATAGTGAACTAATTCTAGTAGGAAAATAAATATGGAAATTTTTGCGATTATCGCTACAAAAGTTGTAACAATTGTAGGAATTGCGTCATAAACGTCTGGACTTCAGAAATGGAATGGTGCAGCAGATACTTTGAATAAGAACCCAACAGCCATGAAAAGTAAACTTATGTGGATATAGTAAGATTTATATCAGTAAACAAGGCTTGTAATGTTATCTTTACTTGCGTTTGATATACTAGTAATAATATATAAACTGTCTAAGTTTGTAGTACCTGAATTTGCATAAAGTAAAGCTGTTCCTAGTAATATAAAACAAGAAGATAGTCCTCCTAATAAGAAATACATAAGTCCTCCTGAAGTAGCTGGTTCTGAATCTCTGTAAATAGTAGAAAGTAAGTACAATCCATAACTTTGTAGTTCAATCGATAAAAATATAGACACTAAATCACTAGTAGATATTAAGAAAACACTTCCTGTAACAATAAATAAAATAATTAAAGAATATTCAATAATTTTGAACTGTTCTCCCATTTTGTTAACGATAAGAGTTCTGTAATATATTAATTTTGTAAATAAAAGTCTGTCGGGTGAGCTGTGTTCTCTTAATCATACTTTTCTAGGATAAAAGGAAGTTAATAAAAGTATAACACTACTAATTAAAAAAATAAATATATGGAAAACATTGGTAGTAGCTGTTGTAGTAAACAGACCTCCAAAAATACCTATACCTTTGTTTAAAAATAGAAAAAATA